GCTTAAACTTGCAACATATACCCAGGGGAACAGAGCCGGGAAAGCACTGGCAGCGCTTCTACGGCAAAAGAGGCAAAATGCGAAAATACCTTTCCTTTTAAATTCACTGGGAAATAAGGTGTATAATCCCCATGATATCCACGACATGTTGGCTGATTATTACGAATCACTGTACAACCTAAACAGAGATGAACACACGCACCAACCACTGGCCACAGACATTAATACATTCCTAACGGAAGCCAACACGCGTCAACTTACGCAGGAGGACCGCACCTTTCTGAATGACCCTATCACTCAGACTGAAATAACACACACAATTAAGACCCTTCCCAAAGGGAAATCACCCGGCCCAGACGGCTTTACAAATTTATATTACAAAACCTTCTCACATATTTTAGCCCCCACACTAGAAAAATTGTACAATACTATCCTCACGACAGGCAAAGTACCAAGGGAGATGCTAATGGCTCACATAACAACACTGCCAAAACCTGGGAAACCACCACACAAATGCCAGAATTTACGGCCCATATCCCTCCTAAATACAGACTTAAAAATACTGGCAAAAATCTATGCAAATAGGTTGGGAACTATGCTCCCCAAACTAATTCGGGATGACCAGGTGGGCTTTGTTCGCGGAAGGCAGGGCTCAGATGGGACAAGGAAACTAGTAAATATCATCCACAGTGTAACGGATCGCCTGGCACCCCGACTGGGTACCTCCGTTAAAGGATGCTCCTAGCGCTTCCTGAGGACTCCAAGCACTGCAGCAGACACCACAACCACCGAACCGGAGAAACAAATAAATTCTCCCAAGCATATGAATGCCTGTAGACAGTTGAATAGGAACCATACGAATAGGTTTACTCTCCTAGCAGTCAAACTGGAACAGCATACAATAAATCCTTCCCCCAATAATGAGGCGACACTTCACTTTGAGGGTTAAAACAGGAACTCCCTGTACTGTCACATACAGTCTCTCTTTATTCCCAATCCACAAACATAGTACAGCCCACAGGGCGTTACAAAACAACCAATCACCTCACAGTTACATCCATATTCCCTCCCCTTATCCTGAGGAAACTCAATTATACATACAGTTAAAACATACTTTCTACCCAACTTTCATAGCTCAAAACCATACATCACATTCACATAAAATTACATATTCACAATCAATCCATTCAGGGGAACAACATATTTAAAATGGCACAAATCAGACAAGGGGTTCAAAAGTTAGTAAAAAGTCCTTTGTGACTAAATGAAGCATGGCTTTCTGGCCCAAACCAGTTTCAGAGTCTTCTATCCTGGAGAGTAATTCAATTATCTCCCAGGATAGACACAAGACTCCATTAAGCACATGGTTGCAAAAAGACACAAAACACTTTAAAATACATAAAGTCACATTTACACATAACACACAGACATTTCAGATATCCCCAGATAGCTGGGATCTGAGTGCACATTATTAGATGAATGGCACTCAGATCACACAAATAAGCCTTTCTGCAGGGGAAATAAACAGTTTAACCTGCAGGGCCATAGTCCAAAGGGAGCAGGCGAGCAACCAGGCTTCTCCAGTTCACAGTGGCGAGGTTGGTTTCGCCACACTTCTCCCCTTTACCAACTAGACTAACAGGGTATCTGACCTCCTGCCGGTCAGTGCCCTGGTTAGTCCAGCAACCCACCCACAAAACAGAAACAGCAGTACAGCCCACCCACAATAACTGGTTACTACACCTGGGTAGAGGAGAACTTTGTCCATGTCCAGGTGCCTCACCACGACTGTGGGGGCAACTGTTAGGCTGCCTTGGTGGGTTGCTGAGTGGGCAGAGACCAGCGGTACTCTGCCCTGATGCCAATGCTACCATGGAAGTAGCCTGGTGGGAGCCTGGTTGTGGGAGGGAGAGACCGACTGTCTCCCCTCTGGATACACCGCTCTGTGGCTGGGGAACAGGACCGACTGTCCCTACCCCTTGTGCTGTAAGTGCAGAGACTACAGTCCCATCTGCACTGTTGGGGGGTGTAACATCTCCCCTTGCTGGTTTAGGCTGCCGCTGGAGAGAGGGTGTAACAAGCTCCTCTCTCTGAACTGTAAACTGCCGCTGGGGAGAGAGGGTATCAGGCTCCTCTCCCTGACACTCTCTCTGCTGGTGGAGAGGGGGACCAGCTGTCTCCCCTTTCATTATTTTGTCCTGTGGTTGGGGTGCGAGACTGACGGTCTCTGCTCCCTGCAGGACACTGTGCCGCTGGGGAGGAAGGACGGCACCTTCAGCTCCCTGGGGTACACACTGCCGCTGGGGAGGAAGGACTGCACCTTCAGCTCCCTGGGGTGCACACTGCCGCTGGGGAGGAAGGACTGCACCTTCAGCTCCCTGGGGTACACACTGCAGCTGGGGAGGAAGGACGGCACCTTCAGCTCCCTGGGGTACACACTGCCGCTGGGGAGGAAGGACGGCACCTTCAGCTCCCTGGGGTACACACTGCCGCTGGGGAGGAAGGACGCCACCTTCTGCTCCCTGGGATACACACTGCAGCTGGGGAGGAAGGACGACCCCTTCGGCTCCCTGGGACTCACACTGCCGCTGGAGATCTGGGCCGACCGCCCAGCATCCCTGTAGGGCCGGTAGAGCGACCGCCGTCCCATCTCCACCTTCCATCTGTGGGTCTTCCCAGGACCAGTCTGTGAGGTCCCTCAACATTTGCGAGTAAGGACCACCTGCTTCCGCACCTGGCAGCTCCGGCTGCTGCTGGGGATCTGGGCCGGTCCCATCTCCACCTGCCTGTTGTGGTTCCTCACAGGACCAGTCTATGAGGACCCCTACTTCGGGTTCCTGCGGCCGCCTCAGGGGGAGACGGCTAGCCTCCTCGGATGCAGCCTCTACTCGGCTGCTGTAACACTCCTTCAGCTGAGCATACTCTCTCTCTTTCGCCAGCCGGAATTCTCGGGCCAGCCTTGTGTTTCGCTCGGCCGTGACCTGGTTCCAGATCACCCGGCGTACCTCCATGGGTAAATCATCCCCATACTGGGCCACTCGCTGCCTCACCTCGGCCATCCAATCATCGCCAGAGCCTTCCATACTTGTCTGCTCCAAGTTGCTGGATACCTCTGCCCCAGGGGCGCTGCACGTGTGCTAGCATTGCCCTCAATTGTAACTCCACGAATGGTGTCTCTGAGCTGCTTTACCTCGCACTAGGACGCCATCCCACCACTGCCACCAATGTAACGGATCGCCTGGCACCCTGACTGGGTACCTCCGTTGAAGGATGCTCCTAGCACTTCCTGAGGACTCCAAGCACTGCAGCAGACACCACAATCACCGAACCGGAGAAGCCAATAAATTCTCTCAAGCATATGAATGCTGTAGACAGTTGAATAGGAACCATACGAATAGGTTTACTCTCCTAGCAGTCAAACTGGAACAGCATACAATAAATCCTTCCCCCAATAATGAGACGACACTTCACTTTGAGGGTTAAAACAGGAACTCCTGTACTGTCACATACAGTCTCTTTTATTCCCAATCCACAAACATAGTACAGCCCACAGGGCGTTACAAAACAACCAATCACCTCACAGTTACATCCCACATATTCCCTCCCCTTATCCTGAGAGGAAACTCAATTATACATACAGTTAAAACATACTTTCTACCCAACTTTCATAACTCCAAAACCATACATCACATTCACATAAAATTACATATTCACAATCAATCCATTCAGGGGAACAACATATTCAAAAATGGCACAAATCAGACAAGGGGTTCAAAAGTTAGTAAAAAGTCCTTTGTGACTAAATGAAGCATGGCTTTCTGGCCCAAACCAGTTTCAGAGTCTTCTATCCTGGAGATAAGTAATTCAATTATCTCCCAGGATAGACACAAGACTCCATTAAGCACATGGTTGCAAAAAGACACAAAACACTTTAGAATACATAAAGTCACATTTACACATAACACACAGACATTTCACATATCCCCAGATAGCTGGGATCTGAGTGCACATTATTAGATGAATGGCACTCAGATCACACAAATAAGCCTTTCTGCAGGGGAAATAAACAGTTTAACCTGCAGGGCCATAGTCCAAAGGGAGCAGGCGAGCAACCAGGCTTCTCCAGTTCACAGTGGCGAGGTTGGTTTCGCCACACACAGTATTCACACAACCGGGGTGCCCAGCGTAGCACTGTCATTAGATGCTGAAAAAGCGTTTGACAGGCTGCACTGGGGATACCTATTAGCTGTACTAAGGAAGTTTGCCTTCCCAGACCGTTTCATCACCTTGGTATCCGCGCTCTATGACAACCCCACAGCGAGGATAGCGAACGGAGGCTTTACCTCCAAACTATTTGAGGTTACTAATGGGTCCAGGCAGGGCTGTCCGCTCTCCCCGTTGCTCTACATACTGGCACTGGAACCCTTAGCACAACACATAAGAGATTCTCAAGACATTAAAGGGATTAATGTAGGAGGGAATACACATAAAATCACCCTGTTCGCTGACGATGTTATGCTCACACTGTCTAACCCGGACACCTCATTAGAGCAACTCCAAATACTACTAACACGATTTAGTGCTTGCTCCTACTATAAACTCAATATCAGCAAGACACAAGCCATGGGCCTAAATCTCACTACAGAACAACTGACTACACTACAAGGTAAACACACATATGACTGGAGAAAGGATCACCTGACATTCTTAGGGATTCACCTCACACCCACAATAAGGAAACTATATAAAACAAATTACTAAGTAACATCAAACAACAGCTGCACAGCTGGAAAGGGAAATACATCTCGTGGACTGGTAGGATAGCGGCAGCAAAAATGATGGTACTGCCCAAGCTCCAGTATTTATTCAGAACACTACAGATAGGCCTGCCAAAGACATTCTTTATAGAGGCCCAAAGCATGCTAAACGGGTTCATCTGGGGAGGGAAACGACCCAGGATTGCGGCGGCCACCATGTATAAGCCCTTTAAAGAGGGTGGGATGGGGGCCCTGGATTTAACCAGATACTACATAGCGGCCCTAATGGGCACTCTTCTAACGACCTTCCACCATACTACACCACCTCCATGGCACCAAATAGAAACAGCACACACCGGCGGGATAGCGGCATCAACCCTAGCTTGGATCCCCAAGCATAGCCGACCGAAATACCAGAACATATGCCCCACTACCGCAGCAACACTCCTAATATGGGATAGATACGTTAAAGAACACTACCATACCACCTATATTTCCCCGGCACTACAAATCCAAGCGCTTCATGTCCTCATTCCTGGATTTGACTATAGCATATGGTACAATAGCGGAATTACCTGTTTATCCCAGATAATGTCAAAAGGCCGCTTACTGGACTATGACTCGATATCCAAAACGTTTAATCTACCTTCCAAAGCATATTTTACTTACCTACAATTACGCTCCTGGGTGAAAAAACACATAGGTGGGGATAGCAGACACCAACAAGACAACAACCTGACCGAGATAGAAAAAATCTGCATGGCCAAAAAACCACCACAAAAACTACTATCTCTCTTATATAAACTATCGGGAACTCAAGTCCCTCCAAAGGCTTTAAAATTCATAAAAGCCTGGGAGAAAGAGCTAGACCTAGACATACCCAATGAAATCTGGTCCAAAGTATTGGCTGCCCATAAACACCTAACACTGAACACGACACACATTGAGACTAGCAGAAAGGTGTTATACCGTTGGTATATGGTGCCCACTAGGCTACACAAATTTGATGGACGGAAATCAAACTCCTGCTGGAGATGCTTGAAAGAGCCCGGAACAATGCTCCACATCTGGTGGACCTGTCCGAAGATCAAGTCCTTCTGGGGACACATTTCAATTACGATAAAGGAGTCCACAAAGGTCACTCTACAGTTCACTCCAGAAACATATCTCTTGCTAGCATTACCCCACACATTGCAAAAGGTGGACCTATATCTCATATATCACATTATCATCACAGCTCAAATGTCTATAAGTAAAGGGTGGCTTAACGAGAACCCACCAAGTATTGACCAATGCTTAAACATGGTGGATACCACCAAGTCATACGAAATAGCGGCAAGGCGGATGAGGGCGGCTAGCAAGGTTTGGCCGACAGCATGGAACCGATGGGACGACTGGCGACTGTCAGTCCAAAAGAGCACACAACAGTTATAGACCTTGAACGGACACAGGTCCTCAGAATGTTAGCCGACCCTTCTTTCTCCCCCCCCCCAACCTTCCCCCCCCTTTTCTTCTCCCCCCTACCTCCCCCCCCAGTTTAGGGTTCACAACGAGGGTTACACACAGATACTGAAATTAACTGAATAAATGAGATACAGACATTGATGTAGGTTAAAGTCCACTGACATACGAATTATTGCTCTGTTCATTGCATTGAGTTATCTCTTTGTTCGGTTTATAAATTCGGAGACGTCAGCTCTCTTTGAAATGTGATTGACTTCTGTACTGTGACCACCGTTATTTTTCTGTACATCTGTATAACTTGACTATAAAATTGAAACTCAATAAAAAATATTACACAAAAAAAAAAAAAAAAAAAATTCCCCATAATGTTAAGAACCTATCTGTAGATTTAGCTGAGAGTATTGCGGGTAGTCTTAATGTAACTAACTGTTTTGTATGTGGAGGTACTAACATGGGAGACCAGTGGCCATGGGAAGCAAAGGAAGCATGGTACCCTGGTTCTGAGACAGATGAACAACGGATATTTTCTCAGTCTGATCATCAAGTAAGTACTAGAGGTAAATCAGAATGGCGGTTAAAAACCTCTATTATAGGTCGTGTCTGTGTAGCTAGGAAAGGGATAATGTATAACACGTCTGTAGGTGAGTGTTTGGGACAAAAGGCTTATAATGATGATACAAAAGATACTACTTGGTGGTCAGCTTCAAATGTCTCGGAACCTACTAATCCGTTTGCCAATTACATTAATTTGAAAGAGGTATGGTTTGATTTATCTGCTACATCCAATTGGAAAGCAAATCTATACTGGATTTGTGGTAAGAAAGCGTATTCAGAGTTACAACAAGACTGGGAAGGGGCATGTGTACTAGGTATGCTCAAACCATAATTCTTCTTGTTGCCAATCGAAACAGGAGAGACCTTGGGAGTTAAGGTTTATGATGTAAATCATAAAAAGAAGGGAGCGTCTTTGAATATAGGTAGCTGGGAAGATGATGAGTGGCCTCCCCAATGTATTATTAATTATTATGGACCTGCTACTTGGGCGGAAGATGGCACATATGGTTATAGAACCCCAATATATATGCTCAACCGTATTATAAGACTACAGGCGGTGGTTGAGATTATCACTAATGAGACAGCACAAGCGCTCAATCTCCTAGCTAAACATAATACTAGAATGAGATCAGCCATCTATCAAAATAGATTAGTTCTGGACTACTTATTAGCAGTAGAAGGAGGTGTATGCGGGAAGTTTAATCTAAGTAACTGTTGTCTGCACATAGATGATGAAGGGCAGGCAGTGGCTGAACTTACAAGTCACATGGTTAACATTGTGCATGTACCTACTCAGGTCTGGAATGGGTATAACCCAAGTAGTTGGTTTGGAAGTTGGTATGAGCAGCTTGGAGGGATTAAGGCACTAGTAGGAGGAGTAGTATTTATTATATTTCTATGTCTCTTTCTGCCCTGCCTGATTGCACTAGTGGTCAGGTCTATACGTAGTGTTATAGAGAGCACTATAGAAAGAAAGACAGCTGCCCATGTAAGGCTGTCTGGAAGTATGAACCCCTAGCCCAGAGAGAGAATAATCGGGATGAGGAATGTTGAGAGAGCACAAAGTTAAGTTAGAATGATTACAAGGTCTGGGTTACTTTAGTGGTGTTGGTAGATTATGATTAGTGATGCATCTGGAATAATGTTATATCAGAAGCATCAAAGGGGGGAATGTGATGGGATTCCAGCATGGTCAAAATTTAGTAGGCTGAAATCTCCACATGGCATATGCTAATTAGTATCTGGTTACAAACAGTTGGATGAGTCATCAGTATACTGAGCATGTGTGGAAGTGGATAGTAAAATCCTTTGCCTTCAACAAGCCATGTGGTCTGCCCATAAAAGGT